TTGGTGTAATAACCTTTATAGTACTAGGGATATATTTTATGTGCCAACAGTGAGAACAACAACAGCAAAGATAGTTTTCGTTGTAATATATTCTGTGTAGAGTTGGCGTTTCTGATAGCATTGATACCTTTTAGGTGGCAACTATTTGTGCTTGTTATTCCTATTACACAAAATCTGACCGCCATATATCGGACTTGACTTTTTTTTTTTTTTTTTTGAAATTTTCAAAAAGAATCGTCTCAAAAATATGAGAAAGAAATATTTCTTAATACAGAAAACTTATCATTTTCAAATTTTTTACTTCATTTCATTGCGTTTTCATGTTCTCCTCCTCGGCTTAGTTACTTCTCTCAGTCTCCGTCACTTTTAATAACATTATAATTTTAATTAAATTAAATTGCTCTGAGCTTCACTATGTGCAGCTTCTTATTTCGCATTAAAGCTGCGCTTTGCAATGCAATTTATCTCTATTAAATCTTGCCTCAATTTATATTAACAATTTCATTTTATTTGTTTTTATTTTTTTAGGTTTTTTCTTCTTTTTCTGCGCTTAATTTTATTGTCATCTTTCGTGCCTTGCGCTGCCGCTTTGGCGCTCGCACACCACCTCATACTAAGCACGAATTAGTGTAGTTGTTGTTGTTAGCTTAGTTCGGTTCGCTCATCGCATTGCCAATGTTTATGGTCATTTTGGCTGAAATGTCATATAAAAGTGAATCAAACTTTGTTAATTTACAATTTATAGCCGAGTGCAGTGACTGCGCTGCCGCGACGCCACGCTATGCCATTCCCCACCAATTTTGGTAATTATGCCGCAGCGCTGCAGCGCCTGTTTTTATTTTATTTTATCACACTTTTTGCTCTTGTTGCTTTACTTCAGTTTGTCTCCATTGACTTTTGCTTTTGGTTCGYATCTCCGTCAATCTTAATCTTCTTTTAGTCGCTTTGACTTGCTTACTTTTTCAATTTTTTAAATTTATTTAAAATTTTTTTTTTTGCTTTTAATTTATGCAAATTGTTTGAATTAAATTTTGAAATTTACCCAAGCACGGGCATGGCACATCGTTAAAGCGCTCATTTTGAGCGCCGCCAGTGCAAGCTTTATAGCTCCGGGGCATACAAAGACAAATTAGAAAGACACAAAAATTCAAAATTTAAAAATAGCCGTGATTTGAGTCCAGAGTAATGCTKCAATTGTAAATGTAGAGTATTGAGCGAGCTATGGCAACAATTAGTAACCTTTGCATCCAATGCGCGCTGTTATAGAAAACCGTTAATATTTGCAATGTTGGCAGGCGCTTACCTCTCGTCGACTAGTTTGAGTTGTTTGTTGCAAGTTTTGACTTGAATTAGACATTTTTTAAATTTCTTTTGGTGTTGTAAATTATTTTTCAAAAATGTTTTTCCAACGCTTCAGGAATGAGAAGCATATATGTAGGTAGTGTAGTGGTATTTTCGCAAAGTAGAAGAAAGTCAACTTTAGTGTTCAGCTGTTCAGTCGAAGCGACTGAAGACATATCGCCGTCTTCCTTTGGGGAGTAACAAAAAACAAACCCATATTTATTAAAAAATCTGTATAAATAAAGATTTTATAATTCCTTCAAAGACGTTTTCTCTAATTTGTTTGAAAATTTTCAGAATTATGTTGAAAATAATGAAAAAATAATAAATTGTCTGACAACCTCCAGCAACAACAAAATAAGCAAAATAAATATTTGCAACTTTCAAACAACACTAAAAACTTTCAACTAACTCGTTTGCGATAAAATATAATTTGCATACTAGACAGTTTGTTTCTTTGTTTTTTTTTT